GGAAGAGAGTGTACTGGTCTCATTTCTCAACTCCGTTAGCCCACAGAGTGCCCACCCCACCATGAGCCACGACAGTTACGCCGGCAGCAACATGTCCCGCTCGTCGACTCGCAGCTACGATGAACGCAGCGCCCGCCCATCACAGCCACCTGTACCCGCTAGCCAACGAGCCTCGGCACCCTCATCACTCGCCTCGGGCTTCATGCACTCGCGTCCCTTCTCCCACTCTCGATTCCACTCGCAACCCACCTCATCGGCTCAGCCGGCTCCTCGTGTTACCTCTGGCTATACCAGCGGTAGCGATGCCTTGACCGACGACTCCGGTAGCGCTAGCAGCCCGTCTGGCATGAGTGACCCGCTCACGCCCCCTGGTACCCCGCCCATGAGCGACTACCCCATGACCGATTTCCACCACGCCTACTACGAGAATGGCTCCCACAGTGGTACTCCCAGCCCCCGCAACAGCCGGGGCGATCACGGACTCGCCAGCGCTACCAGGGACTCATGGAAGCGTGTGAGCAGCAAGCTCTGGCCAAAGAAGAAGAGTGGCGGCCAGCTCCGCGACGACGAACCCGGTGTTGTCGAGGGAGGCCTCTTCTAGTTTACCTCGACACCCCACCCCCTTACACTACCATTTCTACGTTCAAAAGCAGACACGATTACGATGATGCAATCAGAGCGACTTGCATCAATTACTATTGCATTATGGGCTGCATAAACCTTGGCGTCACTCGATTTCCACATCTACAAACCTCGGCATGCGAAGGCGCAACTGGCTTACAACCCGGCGAGGTTGTTTTCGGCATTCTCAACTTCAACTATTAGACCTTTTTCCACTGGCGTTATCAAAAACCCCCTGACCATGCCTTCTATATCCAATTCTGGAAGGTTGGGGGTAGGCGTTAATTTTTTCCTTTCCTTTACATCATCAAGAGCATATCATGAACGACTTGGGCGGGACAAACGGTTTTGATTTTCCTTTATTATGTGTGTATCATTATCATCATGGCCTACTACTATTCTATTATTTTTCCTCTCGAGACGGGAGAGAGGGAAATGTGGCGCTTTGGAACAAGTTATTCCTGGCTACTTGTTTCATAAGGAAATACGTTGGAGACGGGCGGATTGGAGTAGATACCAAGGAACGCGTCTTTCAGAAATGACGCTAGAATTATGAAATCTCATGTGCGCCCTCGTCGGTCACAAACCTCTCAACAAATTGCTTTCCTAAAGAGCACTTCTTGCCTTGTGACATTTGCAACAACACCAACTAAGCTAGCTCCCTAGTTCTGACGGAAGAAGAAAATCCCTCTTACACGACCAATGATCCTGAAATCTTAATAGCATTTGTCATCTTTCCCTCTCTCCTCAGCCTTGACATATACCCAAAATACAGTCCAGCACACACACAACACACAACACACATACGTCGTCAAACCCCCTTCCACAGCCCCGGGACCAAGACCCTTACCTTCCAAGTACCCCGTCCGTTGTCCGAGAAGTCCGAACAGGCCGAACGACCGAGTCCACAGTATTGGGTCGTTCGCCGACCATGTTCTTCGCTGCAAGTAGAAAGCCCTTGCCCATTTACCCTGTGACCCTGTGAACCCCATGACCGCGATCTACATACATGTGTAAATGTAACGTCCCTTTTGCATAGTTGTCTACTTTTGTACATACATACGTGGTATTCGGCCGAGTAACACCGACGCGCGTGAGGCGCCTCCTCCCCCCGGAGATTTTAATCTGTGGCAAGGGAAGGAAGGGACACACGGGCACAGGCACGGAGTGAACGGAGTGGGAAGCCGCAATGGATGGGGTAATCCCTTGATCCTTACCACACGACGGTTTCCCTACGGTCAAACATTTGCTTTGTGTGTGTGTGTGTGTGCATGTGTGTGAGGAAAGGAGAGTCTGGCTAGTACGCTTAGCGCAGCTTGTTAGGGCTAACAATACGGAGATTGAGGGCTGGGCTTCGGCAGTTGGAATTAGAAGATTGTGTTTGTTGTATGTGTGTGTGCGGGTTATAGTCAATTTCGGATATGGTATAACCTTGAAGTAATCATAGTGATATTTGAGGCGTGATAATGGAGAAGGGGGGAAACCGCGAGTGGTGAGTCCGGCGTCTGGGGTTGAGAGGTGTGAGGTGGGGATTGTACTGGGTTACCTGGGTGTGGGGAGATGAGGTTCGAGAGTTTAGAGCCCGAAGGGGGCGAAGAAAGGGTCTGGCGGTAGGTTGTAAGAGTAGTTGGAACTAGGTTAGGTAGGGAAAGTTATGCTACCTACTATTCCACGGCCGTGTATGTATGCCATCTCTGCAAAGCCAAAGCCACATCTTGGGTTAGGGACAATGGGGCGGATATATTGCTCGTATACACCGTATTCTCGCTATTCCTAGCTAACTTTGTGGCGTTGTACATACATCGGACCACCGATCATTTATAAAGACACGTGACGTTTTCGCATACAACACTCAACACCACGTCCTTCATATGTACAAACCACCCCCGTATCGGCGCCTAAGCTCCTCGGCGACTTACCTGTTCCATCTGTATGTGCCATCACACCGATGGCGCTTCTCCATCGCTGACTAGAACCGCCGCGCTGGACCTGGGACAACATGGCGGCGCGGCGCTCGAACCTTCTTGCCCCAAAGTCCTGGGTTGGGTAGGATACGCTAAGTAAGAGCAGCATCAGAAAACTAACCCCTTACTGCGGAATGGGTATGGGATGGGGGGTGGTATGTGCATGTTGGTTTGCTCCTGTCTTGTTACTGCTGTTGCTGCTGCTGCTGCTGCGCTGCAGGGAAGCGAGATCCGAGATACGTGGGTTGGTTGGTTGGTAAGCTCAGGCGCCGGAAGAAGAGGTTCGTGTTTTACGAGCATGTAGGTAAGCCTTTCCTGTCAGAGAGGGGAAATGATCGTCGTACGTTTTCGGCCTTGTTGTTCCTCATACACGTGGCTGAGACTCGGAAAAAGCGTCTGAGACTCATCATCAACCAGCGTCATCGTCACTATCATCACCAGCAATTCTTATGATGATCAGACTTGGAACCAAACTTTACCGTTTTATTTCCAACCTCTACATCTCCACACATGACATGTAGATTTCCTTTTTGGGAGGTTTGTATCAAGATAAGAGGACTAGGTCATGCTCGTTTTTGCGTCACGCGCGGTCTTGGCTAAAGCTACCCAGTGTTTGAATAGTGTTCCGAGAGGTGGCTATACTATAGTTTGAGGCTATGAGGTTCAAAGTCGTTGGACGTTACTGACTTACTACAATCGGCATTGCACACATCCGTGGATTATAGCATGTGTGGCTTGGCCCGATTTCTTTCCTTTTTTAGTTTGGCATGTAAAACATATAGTTAGTTGGTTTAAGAGACGTGTATAGCAGATGCTGACTATGATGCTAGGCTTGGCTGTGTCTCTGTTGAGACGAGGCTGATGTGTGTTGTTCATGCGGGTAAAGGCGAGTTTCCGCAACTCGTTTCAGAGAGAAACGGGGGTCGATTTTGAATTCACAAGCACGCCGTGTTTCAAGGTTTTATTTTGGCTGGTCGAGAGTTGTCGAAATCCTGGGGTTCAAGATGAATTGTGTGGCGATGGAGCATTCCAGGGTTGGCCTGTTGGACAAGCAACATGTACACCTGGGCGAATCGACACGGCGCTCCATCAGCACACATGTTACGACATTTCCGACATTTCCGCACGCAAAACAGTCAAGACTTACCATGATGTGAGAGGGGTGGAACCTGGCGCGCAAAACAAAGTCCACGTGCTCACGTGCTCCCAAACCTCCTTTGTTACTTTCAAATGCAGCACCACAATCACCCTCACATCACCTTCAAATCACACCACAAGCTAGCAAAACTCGCAAACCCACCTATCCCCTAATCATTATTCCCGCTCTTGGCCAGGAACACTACTCCCCTCTTTCCCAATCAAGCCTTCCGGCTCACATACTCGGACCCGCCTCCCGACAGCCAACTGCAACATGCATCCACCGAGCGCCGACGCCGTCCCTCAATCTACCAGCAGTAACCCAGGTCCGCCTGTACACCAAAAAGGCGCAAGCAAGACCAGGTAAAAGCAGCCGATGTACGGTACTTGCCGGGCATCGATTCAGCGATGCGTGATGATTGCGTCTAGCGAAAAACAGGGAGGTGTAAATAGTAGCGGGCTCGGTCATGCGTGATTCGTTAGGAAGCTGGCGGCACCGCTATGTCCTCATTTCGTTATCAATGCTCCGCTGCTCTCGGATGCACGTGGTAAGCACGGCGGAAGCGCTGGGAAAAGAGGCATGAGCTTTGCTATTGTGTGTAACCTTTTTAGCGAAGATTCTCGGAAGACCAGACGGGCGTACGACGACTAATTCTTCTTTCCCTGGCACGCAAGGTTTAGTATTACACGACATGTGGTTTCTTTTTTTTTCTCTCTTACTACTTGCATCATCTACCCCCGTTGGTATTACCATTACTACGACTTGTATAACTGATCAGCACACACTCACACGACATTTCTCCTGTGATACCACATCAAATAGCCCACAAAAGTGGCAACCCTTCTCGAAGCCTTCTAGAAGATTTCCCGCAATCGCTGATTGCAAGGCGAGATAAGCTATGACGTCGCCACTCTTAATTCTGCCGATCAATCTCACCTTTACAATCGCACAAAACGCCCAAATTTGCTAATCGCAGTGTCTACCATTTCCACAGCTGACCCTCATCTTATTGTGCACTGCCCCAATTCCCCCAATTGGAGAAGAGTTGCGGAGAAAAAGAAAAGGCCAAGGGGCTTGGGGATTGAGAGGAGACGGAGAAGGAGAGAGAAAGTTTGACCCCGCACGCGCACAGCACACAGTCTAGAGGGCGCAGCTGAACAGCAACGTCCAGTGCACGCGCGCGCTCAATGCGCGCCGTCCATCATCATGATGGAACCAAGCGACATTAGCACATATATCTTTCTGGCCCAGCGCAGCCAATCGAAGATTAATCGAAGGCGGGTATCATGAACCAAAGCTCAAAGTTGAGTTTGTAGGAGCGATAGGTATTTCCGCTCCCCGGCTGCAGTAGCCCATTCGGTCACATGTTCATGTCGCCCTTGAGCCAACCACAAGCTCAGCGTGCGGCGGCCCCCCCCCCCCCCCTCCCCTTTTTAGTTTTCTCTTAGCCTCCCCACGGCCACAGCAGAAAGAGGGAAGGAAGCACAAAAGCAGCGCGGCATGATCGTCGCCTGCCCCTTGAGGCAAAGATAGGCTGCAAGAGCTGGCGCTGGGATTTAGGGTGCCCGCGGGATTTTTGTGTAAAGCAGCGTGCAGCTGATCGGCGGCATCAACGACGATGGCGATTTGAAGCGGCGGGTCGCGGAGGGAGGGAGAGGGGGGAGACCAGTGAAGGCACTAGAGGACAACTGCCGTTGAAGCAGGTGCGGGAATATGGGCTGCTTACCTAGTTGCTGATCGTCTTCGGGTTGTGACTTGATGATCTCGAGAGCCTTGCAAACTGCATCGTCATGTCCGTTTGCGATCGGTGCTGTGTGGCTGGTGGAGGAGAAGCGTCCGCTCCCCGAGCGTCGCGAGCATCACTTCTCGAGTTGGGTAAAGATGAGCAGTGCGCAAGTCAGCGCAAAACCGGCCACGTTTGCTTGCCACTGTATGAATAGAGTCGTCTTAATCCATATCCTGGACTATATCACAATTCTTCTTTTGCTTACTGTTGGGTTGGTGAATTGGGTAAATTGTAACATCGGTGTGTTTAACAACTTTTAATATGCGCTGAGATCTCTCAGGCCGCCCGGCAAACATTCCAGATCATCACCCCAGCGCGTGCAGCTGCCTCGTCTACCACTACTGTTTGCAAATCCCCCGCTTACGGTGCTTCACGGTATGATGATTGGTATGGCGTACGTATGGCGCTTCGACGCAAGCCCTGTGGCCAAGTAAATGAATGATTGTAATCTCACCGAACACGCACGCCTCATGGCTGGCTGTGCAGATACACAATCAACAACCACAGCTTACTTCGCGCGCGTCCTGACGCAGCAAAGCGGCGCGTTACACGGCGCAAGCGTGCCAAACTGCGCCGCATCTCTTGAAATCTTGGATCGCATAAGCAATACGGCTTGATGGTGGTGAGACGGACATGCCATGCTGGACGACTCGGACGTCCAAAGGCAAGATCCTTCGACTCTCGTGTTGGGCACCGTATCGCGGCGCAAAATGCCTGCGCATTGCGCAATACGAGACGGCTGAGTTGCCACGAGATAGAGAGCATGTACGAGATGTGGACAGAAAGCTTACCCACTCTGCCTAGGCACGTGTGAAAGCTGAGGTGAAACCGAACGCCACAAAAGCTCCGACAGCGTCTGACAACGACCACGACCACAATGGAAGATCGGTACACTCTTCTTCAACGTCACGATACAACATCAGCTCCACATCCAAAGTGCACAGACGTGCTGCCCCCCGCGGGCGGCATAACCCCCCTGTCCCATTCCCTCGCTCCGCCATTACCGATCAGGAGAAGAAAACGTAGCATCCACGGGTCTAGGCGGCCGCTCCAACAATCATGCTTTAATCTAGACGCTCATCTAAATTCAACCTACTGTTACCGGGGACACTGGCTTGAACATGCATATTATATCCCAGGCTGTACAGCAAAGCAACCAGGACAATACCTATTCCAATCCCGCGGTAAGAAATAGATGAAGAGCTTGTGAAAATATGAGCGAGTTTCATTACTACGATTATGATTATTCTGATCAAGAGGGTTGCATTGCGCCTCTGGTTTAGGAAGGTAAACAGAGAAAGGGATTTCTTTCCAGTGGGACGGGACATGAAGAATCGTTAGTGCCATCGGTAACCATGCGTCAAGATCGCAGCAAACCGTAACCTTACGACATTGTGCCTTGATCGTTTGAAGAACCCAGGTTTGACCAAACAATACCAGTAGCCAAGAAACTTGGGTGTGGATGAATCGTGATCTGATGGACGGGTGTGGGCGGTACTAAGCTGACGACCATGTGTTTATATTGGCCCTACTGTACGGTATTCGGCCTTAGTTCGGCTGCATCTTGCGGAGGCTTACCTGACAAGATCTACGCGCAAGTTTATCGATCTTCCTCGTTTACAGCCGACGCGTAGCAGCCGAGTGGGACAAGTCCAACAAGCAGCGGATCATCGGCTGTAGTGAACACCATTAAACTCCATCGCTCGATACAATCGCCCAAGCCGTATGCGCCTTGCTAAGTATGACACAAGAAAAAATTACAAGGAAATAGATGAGGCGCTGTAGCGAAGCACACCCACAGACGTCCATGTAGGACTCTGCATATACCCGGTACGCGATCGTACTGGAGTCGGGGTACGTCATCCACCGCGAGATTCCATCGACTCGGCCGTATACCGTATCCGGTACTACACCAGGCCAGCTCTGGCATGTGCCTGGATCGCAACGGTCGTGAGCGTATCTGGACTACAGCCGCTCTGCCAAGCGTCGATATCCGAGCTTACATGTAAAGATGCGGCGTAGTTGGTCCACGTGAAGAAGCATAAGCAGATGAGTGAAAGGATGCAAGCGACCTGCGGAGTGGGTGCAAGGATTTTCGAACCAGGCCCTTGCATCTAATGAAGATTGAATTTACAGCCAAGGTTGAGCCACGGGCCGGCTTTACGGGCTTGATAAAAGCAGCGATTGCGGTGCTGACGGGCAGCGGATAATGGGAAAGCGCTGCCCGTCCAAGACGGGGACGTGCTCAAGATAGTAAGGTGTTGTCATCTCGGACCGCAAGTATTATAGAAACGTATTACCAGCTATTGGGCTGGCCCATCTGCCTTTCTTTGCTGCTCTCATTTCGGCATACAGAGCTGGATTGATGCCTTTCTTCCGGCACTTCTTGATCTCGGCTTCGGTCAGCGTGCTCGTGTCGAAGTCGCTCGCGCTCCATTTGCTGCTTCCACTGGATTTCGATCCGGACCGGCTCCTCTCAGCGTTGTCCAATATAGACCGGAGGGAACGTTCTTCTGGTAGAATTCCGTGCATATCTGGGACCGAAGTTGTTGATCCTGAAAGAGTCGAAGGGCGTGAGGTCTGGCCAATCGAGGTTGCTTTCTCGATGATTAGGCGATTAGGACTTAGTGACTGGTCTTGCGCCTTGTCCGTCAACTTGCGAGGCATCATCTTCCTAAAAAGCGACTGTGGGGTATGATGGTCGAGGCTCGCATATCCCAGAGGTGTTTCTACCGGCGTACACGTTCGTCGCGAGCTTCCGCTCGATGAGTGTATCGACGAAGACTTGGAGGTGATACTTGGCGTAGGATTGGACGGCGCATAATCTTCGGAAGTAAACCAGTCCGGGGATGGAGCCTCAACGTCAGGTGGATCGTGGCCATAATCACTTCGGTCGTCCTCAGCTACCGTCGTTACCGAGTTGATGGTTTCCAATGAGGTTTGTCTTCGAAGATGTGGCGGCAATCTCTTGATGTTGTTTATCTCTCTCTTGTTATTCCGATATGAGATGAGTCCACGCGGGTGTCGTCGTGTGATTGACGGTTGGACTGGAGGAGCTGGATCAGGTGACGGTACACGCTGAGGTTGAGGTTCAGGTGGTCGAAACGGAAGAGAGAACTTCCGCGTAGGAGGCGTTTCCGGCGGCGTGTCCACTGGATGCGATTGGAGTGGGTTGAAGCTAAATGTGGAACTTGAACGAGATGTAGGCCTTCTGTCTTGTTCGCCATCGCCATTGATTGAAGCAGATCGACTCCGCGCTATTGGCGGTGGGGCTGCTTCGTCTAGTTCTTCGTCAGAATCGTCAAAAACAAACGTCCGATGATCCCTGTGCTGCTTCTGCGCTTCGAGGGCGGCTCGGGGCGAGCGGCGGATGGCAGGTGGAACGGCGTCGTCGTCGTCAAAGTCCATTGCAGCGCTTATGTGAGGATGTAGAGGTCGTAGTAGCATCGCATCTAGAAAAAGAAAAACCAAGGTGAAAAACCCCGAACTGTAGCTTTGGTGTCGGGCCCGCTCAACCACCCAAGGAACAGCAATCATGACGCAGCCGGACCTGCCAGAACCCCATGGCGTTGCTAGCGTGACTTGGAAACATGGCTGTACCTTGCATATAGTTCACGGCGAGGTGCACCTGAAGCCTAGATCTGAACTGGTATTGTGGTCTAGCGCGGGAACGGTGCAAGTCATGTTAGCAGTCATCTACTTGACTTTGTGTAAGTTGAACTGAAGATGGATGGATTGTGTACAGGGTGCACGAGAGAAGGTAATAGTGACGATGGAGGCTGGTTGGGCTCTGTCTATTACGCGGGTGGCTAAGGCATCGGCGGTTTTGGGGCCGTTGCAGACTGGCCAACGGTCGAGACAGCCGTAGGTAGACGCCATAACGGAACGGATATGAATCCTGGTCATTATTCGAGGTGACTAATATGATACATGTGTACAACAGCATTCATATTTGTCTCTATAAACGCTGTAGTAGATACGTAGGCGCGTCCGGTATCCTGCTATGAGAGGAGGATTGGAGGGGTGAGAAGGTCACGTGCGCGAGACCAAGCCGAGTTTCCACGGGTGCTCTGTGTACTCCGGGTGTCCAACGAAGCAGACCCGATGCTGTTGGGTGTTTCAAGCGAGCAAGGCGTGTCAGAAGGCAGTGGGAGCATGGATTGTGGCTCGCAGTAGTTCCAAGATGATGTTTCGAGGCGGGACGGTCGGGACCTGACAGGCCGCAACGAGGCTAGGACCCGAAGCAGACTAGCGGCATCTGCACCCAACACCTGTAACGAAGTGCAGCAGACGCTCCTTACTTGGTTGAAGTTCACCGTCGCTGTCCACGCGAACAGCATGTATGCGACAATAACATCCGACAAGACCGAACCGCTGCGCTCATAACGTGCCCCGCTCGCCATGAGCAACGACGCGCCCACGCCCATCTCGGACGACGAGGTAGTGGCGCTGACCAAGGCGGCTTTTGAACACTCCCGCCAGGACATCAACCACCGCGCCGCTGCCGAGACGCCGCGGGAACTGCAGCAGCAGCAACCGGGCATCACCATCGATCTGGGCCACAAGAACATTGCCCGCCTGCCAGACGAGGTGATTGATGTCATCAGGGCTGAGATTGAGAGGTACACTGAACCACTTGCGCTTGCTGTTACCGTCTCGTGCATGTAAGGGAGACATGTGCTGACTTTCCAGGCTCGCTCTTTCCCACAACCTTCTCTCGACCCTTCCGTCCCGCCTAGTAGAATGCAGACGTCTCCGCTACCTCAACGTGCGCTACAATGCCATGCGCGAGATTCCCAATGCCGTACGTTGGCCCGCTGCAATACACCACACATGATTGGCCTGCTGATACCTACCCAGATCCTCGAAATGACATCCTTGGAGATTCTCGATGTCAGCAGGAACAAGATTAGATCAATCCCGACCAAGATTGCAAACCTGACGTCGCTAAAGGTGCTAGCCATTGCGAAAAACAAGATTGAGGAGCTGCCCGTTTGTCTGGGAGAGATCAACAGTTTGCAGGTCCTTAAGCTAGACGGTAATATGCTCGTATTCCCTCCCCCCGAGGTCTGCACCATCAAGGACAACGCCCCCTCGCCAGCAAACGAGAACGAGCGAGACGCCGTCATCGCCACCCAGGTCAAACGCTTCATGCGCCAACACGTTGCAAAAGAGCGTCAGCGGGACGAGAGGCTACGGGCTGAATCTTCTGGAGACGAGAGTTGGACCGAGAGCAACCCGGAGACACCTCGTCCGTCGAAGCGAGCCAACGGAGGACGATTTCCCGTAAGACCCAGCGTAGGCAACTTGGACGGCTTCTCTGAAGGCAAGATCGACTCTCCCGGCCTGGCCGCCCCGCCTATCCCGGTTCGCTCCCATTTCCGAGTCGGATCTACCACAAGCAATGGTAATGCCAACGGTAATGGCGTCAGCAAGAGACGTCAAATCCCTCCACTGGTCCTGACAAATGGAAACAACGAGCGCAACCGAAGCCAGAGTGAAGGGTCGGGGCCCTCGTCACACCGCCAGAAGCGCATGGGCATATACACCAACAAGACGTCTGAACTGGGGTCAGTGGATGAGCTGCGGCGGACCAGCCACTTCCGTGGTTTCAGCCAGGGCATTGTGATGCCTGCGAATGCGGGGGGCAGTAACTTTCCAGGACCGGCAACCGCGGGCTTCTATGGAGATACAGGCACTGTGAGATCCCTCGCGAATAGGCCGCTATCCGACGTGCGTGAGCACAGACGCGTGTCGCGTGCCCCCGATATCGTCGTTGAAGCTGCCAAGAACTTCCTCTATGCCATCTCGCAGCTTCATGATTGCGTCACACACATGGTACGCTCAATCAAGTTGACGGCCAAGACGAAAGAAAGTCTGCGTCGCAAGGAAGACTTTTACCGCAGGTTCTCCAGCACGTACCTAAACATCCGTGCCTTGAACGAAGTCTTGCACAAGTTCGATAGGCTAGTTGAAGAGGACGAGGACGAGGCCCAGAAGCTCTCTAGAAGTGTTTACATGTACGCACTGAGGTGTCTTGACTCCTTCATGGCCATCAGTCTTTCCATCGCCGAGAACCGCATCGAGATTGTCCACAACGCCAACCCGCACATCATGCGGACCTTTTTACTGCTTCAACAAGGCAGTTTGATCGAGATGAGGAACGCTTGCTCAATCTTGGGTGCGCAGTTCAAAGACTCGGCTGCAACCCCAACGAGACTCAACGGTGGTGACGCACTCGCGACAGTACGGGCGCGCCCATCGAGGGTTCGCCGGCTCCAAGCGTCCCCGCCACAGCGGAACGGGTATCAGATGCCTCCGCCCGTCATACTGCACAGTAATGACAATAGCCGATCGAACACCATGACGAGCCTTAGCGCGATAACCCCTCGCTCCGGAGAGTCCTTCTCCATGGTTGGGCCAAACATGACGCGGACAAATACGATGACTAGCACGATGACCAGCAATTTTGACGAAGCAGACGAAGATGCTCAGTTCGACAGAGTCTACACAAAACTCAGGAATGCGTCGGACGGCTGTAGAACCTCCATGACGCAGATCACGCGCATGATGCGAGAGCAATTCGACAGCTTGCGACGCGATCTCGACAACGAGGATCCTAGGGTGAAGGCGTTGGCGAGCCTCATTGATAAGAGCAATGAAGCCCAGCAGATGGCGATCCCTCTGTCTAGTCGGTTATCACAAATGCAGCTCAAAGACAGCTACACGCGAAATCAGCCCGAGTTCTGGCAGCAATGCATGGGTTTCATCAAGGTATGTACTTTTCTGTTTCGTTTCGTAGAGAAGTTTTCGAGAACAGCCCATTGACTCAGATTTGTTTCAGGCTTGGCAGGAACTGGCGACTGCGTACACCCAGCAAGGCAGAGAACACAAATTGCTTACTACAGATGTCAAAAAGCTTATGCGACCGTTGCATAAGATGGTCAAGGAGGCTAGTCTGGCTATCAACGACAGTCCTTGGTCAAATCTCACTAGCAACAACTTGGGCTCGATGGGACCGCCGAGTCTATCATCCATCACCTCACGGACTCAGCCACCAAGGTTCCTCAACAAGCCTACGAGCACCATGTCTTCGAATGGCGGACCTGGGTTCCCGGGACCAATCAACACTGCTATTCCTCCCATGAACTCGGTCTTCTCAGCACAACCTCACACGGCGACTTTCACGTCTCAAAGTTCTGGTGGATATAGTACACCGGTCCCCGCAACCCCACTGAGTGCGGCGCTAGGTGCAGCAGCCCAAGCAACTGTTCCCAGCACACCCAGGATGCCTTCGCAAGGTTCCAATACGCTCAACGTTTTCGAGCGAGCCGATCGACTGCTAAACCAACCAAGCCGACGTGTCTGATGTCTAGTATACACCTATACTAGTTCAGTTTCCTCTGAACTATGCATCTCAACGCATGTCTGCCGCATGCAGACGCCATATCAAGTCCCAGCTACGTAAGTCTGCATTATTCACTTTTCATCGCTTCATGTTTTGTCGTATTTGGGCCTGTACTTTTTTGCATACATTAGCGACGGCGTTTGTCCGGATTTCACTCTTTCTCATCGTGCATGAGCAGCATCTCAGGGCTTGCATATCGGATATGGTGTTGGGGGAATGGTGGTCAAGCGGCATTTGTCACTGCATATATTGGGCGTTGACTGGTAATATTGGATCTCTTCGGGATGATGGATGATGGATGGCTGGATGGCAAGGGCGTGGGCAGCATAGGCGGATGACGAAGGCAAGCATGGCTGGCCCTGTGCATGACGGTTGTGCATTTCCGTTACGAAACGAGATGCAGGATGAAGGCACCAGCGTAATGCTTGTGGATGAGAACAAAAGCATAGTAATGCATATACACACGTTTAGACATTTGTCCTGCTCCTATCTGTTTGCTTCTTCTACTCCAAAGCATTGTTTTCCAGACTTGATCAGAGTGCGGCATTGAGTTCTAGATTCTTCGTCTTTTTGGCGCAGGCGCAGGTGGCATCAAAAGCGGTCTTTTACATGCCTCGTATCCTCGTGGTACAGGGTACATTCGGTCGAGCCAGACATTCCACAAAATGACCGACGTGGTGCTCGAGCACCAGTAAAGCATCAGAGCTGCAGGCAGGTTCTGGCAAAGTGGCCCTATACAGAGCGAAGCAAACAGCAACGTCCTCCTGATGATGGTGGGCCACTTTGCACCTGTTGGAGGACTGTTATTGGTGAAGAAGAAATTGGAAAACATGAGGCCTGACGCAATGAAGGGTAGCATACCCGTAGGGTCCGGGATAAGAAGATCTGGAAACCACAGCATCCCCTCGTTCGCCAGCGAAGGGTCAAACCATAAGGAGGGAGTGACGCGCGCCACGAGCTCACCACTTTCATTGACCATTGTTGTACCCTCGCCCTTGATTGACGCCATAGCCATGCCTAGCAGTCCATCCTGGGCGCCACATTTCTGTCGAGTAGTCTCAGCCATGGCGAAGAAGATGGGTATCTGGCCGACAGTCCAACAAATCTGCGCGTCTAGAGTCGTGCTCCACCTCTTGTCCAATGCCGATGTGACCTGCTTTAGCTCCTTCTTCGTTGCCAACGTAGCCTCTCTAGGAGTTCGAAATGTCCTTTGCTGCAATATCTCATCTCGTTTTTGAAGGGCAAGTGCTTGTCGGAGCGGCAGCAGACCCATGAATCGTGCGTAGAGGGAGCGCGCATACGTTCCGGCTGTAGTAACAAGCAGGGCACGCAGAATAAAGGCCGAGATGGGTAAGGCGGCGTACCATGGGACCGTGGTATGGATGAGTGACATCATCTCGTGCGGGAGATACAGAATGGCATCAACGAGGGGGTCTTTGCGCGGCGCCGAGGCATGGAAGGCGCGTGTTGACGGACGCGATATTGAGGCTTGGGGTGTGATGGAGCTTCGCACGAGCAATTGGCATGCCCTGTGCCGTGGCAGGCGCGAAGACAGCATGTCGGGATATTTTTTCGTGTTTGCGGTTGCTTGTCCATCGGACTCCCGAGAAGACGTCCAAGTTGACTAACGTGTCTGTGCGCGTGATGCCCATAATCGCGTGCCGCACACCCCGCAACATCAACACCAATCCACCCTTACCACTTCAACCACCCATAACTCCACAACTATGAGTTGTATCAACGCTGCGATTGAAGCTATTGAATCGCGTGATCCCGGAGATAAATTTACATACTCTGAGGTTGCGCGCCGCTTTGGTGTTGATCGCTCTACGTTGTCGCGACGCCATCAACAGATCCGGGGCTCAAATGAAGCCAAATCACGTAATCAGCAACTCCTTCACCCACACCAGGAGCTACAGCTTCTAGAGCACATTGACGAACTTACTGAGGCTGGCTTACCACCGACGAGGACTATGATCCAGAACTTTGCTAGTGCTATAGCCGGAAGGGCTGCCTCCCAAAGCTGGGTGACGCGCTTCTTTCACCGTCATCCCGACGCGATTATATCACGTTGGTCAACTGGTTTGGACCGCAATCGCCACCGGGCTGATTCTGTATACAAGTACGAGTCGTACTTTGATCTACTATCTACTAAAATGGCTCAGCACCATATTCGGGCGCAGGATGTATATAATATGGATGAGAAGGGATTCCTTATTGGAGTGACGGGGAGGAGTAAGAGAGTGTTTAGTAAGCAGAAATATGAGACTGGGGGCTTTAAGAAAGTGATACAGGACGGCAACAGAGATTGGATCACTGTTATCGCTGCTATATGTGCTGATGGGAGTACGTTACCGCCCGCGATTATATACGAAGCTACTTCGGGCAACATGTACGCCAGATGGGTTGATGATATCGCAATTGACGATCCAGTCTACGTTACCTCAAGTCCCTCAGGGTGGACCAATGATCAGGTAGGCCTGGCATGGCTCGAACAGGTGTTTGATCGCCATACGAAGGAGAAGGCCGGCAATCACACACGCTTACTCATCCTTGACGGCCATGGGAGTCACGTTACTATGGAGTTTATTGACTACGCGATCGCCCACAATATTATGTTACTCGTACTACCCCCCCATAGTACCCATACGCTGCAGCCACTCGATGTGGTAATGTTCAAACCTCTGGCAGCCGCGTACTCACTCAGCTTGCAGCACTACCTCCAGGCGAGCCACGGTCTCTTAGCTGTGAGGAAGGATGACTTCTACCGTCTTTTCAAGCCTGCCTGGGACTCCTCTTTCATTAAGAAGCACGCGTTGAAGGCATTTAAAGCCACTGGGATAGCTCCTATAGATCCCGAAGTAGTACTTAAAAAGTTCCGAAAGTCAACACTAACAGCACCGCCGCCACTAGTGAACGTGAGTAGAGCTACTATCATGAACCTCATTAATCAGGCCTACGATCCGAGCTCTATTGCGGCCAACAACCTCTCAGAAATACTCCTCCGCCTCCAGGCTGCCAAAGAGATCGCCGAGTACGAGAAGGACGCACTGCGCGCGGCGCTACACGTTCACCAGAAGCCCCGCAATCGGCACGAACCTCCCCTAGATCTACAGCAGCGAAAAGCGTTCCATTCAGGGGCAGTTTGGTGGTGGCCGTGCAAGCTTCGAGAGGCCCGCTTCAGGCAGCTAGTGAAGGAGAAGGAGAAGGAGAAAGAGCTACTTGATAAGATAGAGTTGAAAGAGGCAAAGGAGAACAACAGGATCTATCAACTTAAGATCAAAGAGGCAGCGCGGGCGGCGCGTGAGGAGGCAAAGAAGGTGCGGGATGAAGCCAAGGCTGTAAAGGCTGCCGAACTTGACGCCAAACGACGCGATCGCGACGCTGCAAAGGCTATACAACAACCCCAGTCGGGCAAGCGTAAGGCTTCAAAGCCCGCTGCAAAGCAACAGCCAAAAAAACGACGCGTGGGTGGTGCTGGCGGTGGTACTCTGGCTGAGGTGGCTGCACCGGCTCCCCCACCAACAACCACCCGACGCGGCCGGGCCGTCAATACTCCGGCAAAATATAGATAGACAAAGTTGTAGAGCTACGTCTATAGATCAATACACCGGAAAATCTCGCGATAATAGTTATTGTACGTGGCTGCGCAGCCTCAACTTTGCCGTCGTCGCGATATTGGTGGGGTGTGCGGCACGCGATTATGGGCATCACGCGCACAGACACGTTAGCGTCAGGGTCTCCAGATTTCCGGGCCGGCCAAACACGTCCGACCGTCATCCCACTGAACAGCTGTCAAGCTTCACCGTACAGTAACCTATGGAGTGAGTCTACGCCTTCTACCTCTTCCGCGGTATCCATAATCGGCGTTACTTCAACATGGGCGTCTTGCTCGTCTTGTTCTCCCTGCTGGTGCCCGCGCTTGTGGCCGCTCTCTTTGTGCCCGCAGCCCTACGCTTCGCTGCGGAACTAGTGGGACAACACCTTCGGCGATCCTCCCGCACACGGCGAGAGCTGCTACTGGCCAGGGTAGCAAGCGAAACCAAGACTCATGAGACAGAACAGAGGAAAAGCAACAAGGACGACGATGACTGGGAAGAGGTTGGAACCACGCCTCCCGGTAGTGCAGGAAAGGGAGGAAAAGCGGACAGCGAGTGGGACGGCATTGTGGGCTTCTTCCACCCCTTCTGGTAGGCATGAAGAGTTGTCATATGTGCGTGGTTAAACACTAACAGACATCTTCCAGCAATGCGGGAGGAGGCGGCGAACGAGTCCTCTGGGCAGCCATTCGAGCACACCAGAAACGCTGGCCAAAGGCTGTCTGTATAGTCTATACCGGAGACCACGATGTCGACAAAAGTGCCATACTCAAGCGCGTCAAGGATCGCTTCAACATCCAGCTACACCCACCGACCATTCACTTCCTCTACCTCACAACCCGCGATTGGGTCCTCGCAAGCAGATGGCCGCGCTTCACTCTTCTCGGACAGTCTCTTGGTTCCCTGGTGCTCGCATACGATGCTTTTACGCTCCTCGTCCCAGACATATTCATAGATACTATGGGCTATGCTTTTGCACTCGGCCTATCCTCGTTCCTCTTCCCAACCGTACCAACAGGCGCATACGTTCACTATCCCACCATATCGACCGATATGTTAGACTCTTTGCAAGAAGGAGGTCAGGGAATCAACGCGGGAACGGGGGCTGGATATCGCGGCATGGCAAAGAAAAAGTACTGGCAACTGTTCGCACAGCTTTACAGCAAAGTGGGTAGCACCATCGATGTGGTAATGACAAACTCTACCTGGACGCAGAGCCATATCAAATCGCTTTGGGAACCATATCGTATCAAGCGCAGCAAGGCTATCGACATTGACGTCGTCTTTCCACCCGTTGCTGTTGAGGATGTCATGGAAGCCGTCCAAGTCTCAGCATCTAGCGAAAAGAACCGCGGCCCTTATTTACTTTACATTGCGCAGTTCCGACCCGAGAAGAACCACCGACTCATCCTCGAAGCTTTTGCCTCTTTTATAAATTCCAAGCCTAAACTCCCAGCGTATCCCAACAAGTCCCCCAAGCTCGTCCTGATAGGCTCGGTGCGGAACTCCCACGACGACGCCAAACGTGTTTACGAGCTGCGTCTCTTGGCACACGAGTTGCATATCAAGGACAATGTCGAATTCATATGCGATGCACCATGGCCGCTCATGCTCGACTGGATGCGCAAGGCCAGCGTAGGCGTAAACGCAATGTGGAACGAACATTTCGGCATTGGCGTTGTCGAGTACCAAGCCGCAGGAATGATATCTGTCGTCAACAACTCCGGAGGACCCAAGTTAGACATCGTAGTCGAGGTAGATGGAAAGCCCACTGGTAAGTACCACAACATAGTTGTCATTACTTGAGAGCTGTCCAGCTAACATCTCACCTCAGGTTTCCACGCAACAACCGCACAGGAATACGCAGAAGGCTTCCGAAAGGCACTTACTCTGTCACCGGAAGAAACGCTAGCTATGAGACAACGAGCTCGCAAGTCTTCTGAGCGCTTCACAGACAAGGGGTTCGCGGATAAATGGTTGCAAAATGCGGAGAAGTTGGTGGCATTGCAGATTCAACGTGCGTCCCACTGAGCTCCTCATCTTCAAAAGGGTGATTAACTCAAACTTGGGGAATCGGGGCGTTTTTTTCTTTCTTTTCAGAGGCATTCTTGATACCACACTACTTTAGCATTGGGCGGTGCATCTAGGGTTTATCATGCAGACAGAAAACAACAAGGAATATCAGTGTTTTTACTTTGCGAATTTGTGGACCATGATGTACTGAGAAAGACTATATATTTGCTTTATTGCTGAAACTTGACTGGATTTGATACACTATGAGTAATACTCTTCATCATTACTCTCGACAAAGGTCTTGCCCTTGATTTCATCCCCGAGCAGGTAATGTCGGTGTTAGGTACTGTTGTCGCTTTTGTCGTTGTTATCCTCTGCCATACCCTTCATCCCACTCCCCATTACAATGTTAAACTCAACAACGGCCCCCGTATACTACTGGTTCCCAATTCACCAGCCTGTAACTACCCGGCTCGAGCTGTAGCATGGTTGCTTGCGCATGGTCTCTATCATCCATTTACCAGAGAATTGTTGAGGCAGTATAACTCGTATTTGAGATGCACATTTTTAAGCAAGCGGAACAATATCGTGGCGCTCGTGACCTTATGCGTGTGGTTGTTTATTTACCCTAGTCACGACGTGGAGCCTTTTCTTTTTGGTTGATACTCTGTCTGGACCGTAATGAATAGCTTTTTTGTTCATGGAAACGATCGAGTTTCAATCTGAGTCCTCTGGTAGCTTCTGTACGGGGAACGACTGCTCTCCGAATGCGTTCTTCAAGGCGGATATCTTCTTCTTTGTCATCCAGACCGTCAACACTGGTACCTTCTTTGTTTGAGTTTTGCTTCCCGCCGCGGTCGTTGCCTGTGCTTCGTGTTCATCGACTTCCATGGGCTCAAAAGCTTCCTCTTCTTCTTGCGAGGCCTCAGATTTCTTAGCCTCTGCTTTGTTCTGACCAACTGTGTCTGATGACTTGATCTTCCGCTCAACCTCCACACTCGTGAGCATTGTGTACATCCACCATGTTTCCACCTTTCCTTTGTCCTCTTTCGTATTGGGCGCTACAATCCGACGGACCATGTCCACAATGCCAACTAGCTTCGTTGTCCCCTCGCCTTGTGCAGATACAGCTATTGCGAGATCCTCTTCTTTCAGTGCATCGGGCATATCAATCGTAGAAGCTGGATCCTTGTATGCGCCCAAATATGTCTTGAGTTTGTTGATACCCGACTTGACATTTTGGTTCTTTGAGAACACGACTGGAATGACGTTTCGTGTCCCCCGAACATATTTCTGTGTCTCTAGAAGCTTGCGCAGCTCGGCGGGAAGACGTGTCCATGGTTCATACAGCGATGGGTGAATAGTAGGCGGAGATTGTGGTTGCGACGGCTTTTTCGTCGCTGTATCAGCAATCCTCTCTTGTGCTTTCCGCTTCTTGTTGGGTATCCTAGAATCTGCAACTTTTACTGCGCCCTCTTGTGCTCCGATAATTGGAAGTGTAGGTCCTTCGCTCGAGTATGGTGGTGTTGCCGTTACAGTAGTCGTATTAGCGTCTTTTTCCGACGACGATGCGAATATTTCGCTCATGCGCTTAGGATTGCCCATTATGAGTGATAGGAAGAGGCAGTTATCATTAGGGTACTTTGAGCCTAAGCTGTTGTTCGCAGGTGACTGACGCGCCAAAAATCTCAAGACGCGCTGGCGGAGATAACAGACTGCGCTATCTTATCGCCGACTAGTCAAATCTGTGCCGTCATCACGTCTCGTCTCAAACCTCATCACTGTAACAGCAATATTTCCACGTTGAAATCTATATAAACGCTTAGTGACATATTCTATTCTCATTACAAACATTACATTATGAACGATGAAGTGCTTGTTTCTTCGAGGTCGGAGAGTGTTGCCACTCAGAGTGGCGACCAAGGCCTAACGATGTACGTTTTTTGGTTACATGTCAACTCGAACCGGCCTTGACTAAGCTCAATCAGTAATAGAGAGGATGGATACATATCACCACTTTTGCGTCTTCCAGCGGAACTTCGAATCATGATATACGAGTACGCATTTGCCAATGAGATTGTACATGTTCAACCAAAGTCCACCGATCCAATTGCCGACCTATATACTCCTCGAACCCCAGGAGCTCAGAAATACCAAAGCGTCATTTCCCTGCTTATGACATGTCGAACCATCCGCAAGGAAGCCTCATCCATCTTCAACGGCCTAGTCACTTTTGATTTGACTCATTATTACAACTGCATGGCGGCCGCGTACGAATTAGGACCAGACATGTGTCAAACCATCACATCGATCAAGGTGGAGCCTAGGCTGGCAAAAAGACTGGCTATAGGAATTCAATCAGGCGCATCGCCCAACACCAATTATCAGCATCTGCTGCCATCTCTACACCGTGTATATATCCAAGACAGCCCCATCTTCGGATTCTTTCTTGTAAGCCATGACTTGGCTGTTAGGGCGTTGCGTCTCTACTTTGGACATGATCGGCTCCAAGTCCAGTTCACTAAGTGAAAGAAGACAATGGTTTTCTATGACATATAGGGAGGGCCAGTGCGCCGGGGCCTGGGTGGAAGAAGCCGTAAATTTCTATGACGGATAATGGAGGCCCAGTGCGCGGCGGCCTGGAGTGAATCACGAGCGCTGCGCCGTTAACTCAATCTTCCCCGTCGCTCATGCACATATAAACTCCCCTGCCCGACCACTTTCGTTACCCCCACCCCCACCCACTTTGCAATCTTAACCTAGCAGCCACCACTCATTTTACAACATCAACCCGAAACCACTCCACTATGGGTGCCAACCAATCATCTCACCGCCGCGCTATCCTTCTCGAGCGTAGGCAAGTATTGTGTCATTTACATATCTTGATTGAAGACTAACATTGTTATAGGACGCAACAGAACACCATCAGCGCCCCCTTGCTCCGCCTGCCCCGCAAGATACGCAACAAGATGTACGACTATGTGCTTGTTGGAGAGACCGTCCGTGTTCATTATTCACATCTGAAGGACGATATGCAAGAGCAAATGCAAGAGCAAGTGCAAGAGCAAGTGCAAGCGCGAGAGAAGGACTGGTACGAATTTCTCGATGTCTTCGGGCTCTTCACACCACCTTTGGGTCTGCTGGCGTGCTGGTTGGAGTACATTGCTGAACATAACCGAAAGCGTAAAGGTGTCCTTGCCCTTCTCTTCACCTGTAGGCAGACCCACAACGAGTTCATAGCACTTTTCTACAGCGGTGTTGTATTCGACCTCACTGCTTTCGAATTCCGAACTGGCTGGCCGTGTATCCGACAGAGTTGCTATCAGTCAGTTCAGTCAGTCCGGAGCTCTCTGGACTGACTGAACTGACGTCCTGAGGTCACTGAACTGGACTGGACTGACTGCCAAGACTTTTCAATTAAACTAAAACTGACTGACTGAACTGACGTCGCCGCGGCCTGCGGACTGACTGGACTGACTGAACTGAGTTACCTGACGTCGAACTGAGATAAATGCTCCTGTACTTTTGAGATTTCTTCCTCTGATAGTGTGCGCGCTAGTCCAGAAGCTGAGGTAGTTGTTGGCTGTATACCAAGCCTCTTCCAGCTCTTCAAGCTCTGCAAAGCTGAAATAAGCTCTGGCTTCATATGGAGTCTCCGGGTGCCTAACATGTCGCCAAGCTCGCTGAAAGTCCGCTCACAGTCTGCCGCTGCTGCTGGTATTGTTAGGACGTCAATAGCGAACTTTGAGAGTATAGGGAACTGCCCAGCAACTGACTCCCAGTATAGAAGCGGATTAAGAGACAGCCAATCCTCCTCAGCTAACGCTGGTTGCCGCTTCCATATCTCATACTCATCCTCAGCAAGGCTTGCCTCTAACTGCCGTGTGCTTTGCTCAATTGACGACTGTAGAAAAGCTGATCGCGACGTTGAAATCCCTAGCCGGGGCTTCTTACGCGGCGGCGTTACAGTGTGAGCTGAAGTGGCTGCAGAGTCCTTCCGCCCCTGCCACATGCGCAGGAATGCCCGGTGGTTATTGTCAAGCCAGCCGTCGCGATAGTGGACACCGTCACGGGCAGTGACATGGGTGTCAGGCACCTTCCAGAGCGCTGAGAGGTGGTGTTTGTAGTGCGGGTGTAGTATTGTAGCAGTGTAGTAGACAGGCGCGTTATCGAATTTTGCGTAGTACTCAGCAAGCTTACAATGCGCAAGGTTAACGTTTGTAATAAGATGATCTTCAGGCGCATCTAGATCTTCGTAATTTACATCCTTAAGGCGGTCTTTGAGAGCCTCAAGCTGGTCAAGAAGCCACTCAAACGTTACTAGAACTTCCCATATAGCGCCGTGTCGGCCGTGTCGGCCGCGACCTTCAAGTAGCCGTGTAGCTTCGGCAAATGGCTCAAGGAGTCGAATGTATTCTGTTATTGTCGCCCAGTCCTTGCCGTTTAGACCCCCTTCGCGTATATATAACCGTGGCTGGGCAGCAGGGAGCTGCTCACGATTCTTCCGGCGTCGTGAGGTTGCTGTTGCAGCACTATGCTCCTCAAGTTTACACTCAATATAGCCATCGATAGGGCCGTGTAGCTCAGCTGCACGGACAAACGTGTTGAAATAGCTATTCCAGCGTGTCTTAACAGGCTTCACAAGCTGCCGGATGTGGGGTGTAACACCTAGAGACTCTGCCTCCTCGCACTGTAGGCGCTCTAGTAGTTGTCGAGTTTGAGGCGTACAGATAGACGCAATCACGTCAAAGAGGACGCCAACAGGACCGTATTTGCGCCACTCATCCATGTACTTCTCCTCTTCCTCAAGGTGTGCGGCTTCATTCTCGTACGCGCTACGGTCTTTGCCCCAAATTACTAATTGTGCGCTTAGGTTGAGTATATGGCAGCAGCACCGCAGCCGCCGCTCGCTTGCGATAAAGCCAAACTCCTCTGCTAAGGACTCAACTGCAGTATCATTGTTACTTGCGTTGTCAAGCACAAAGTACCCAACCCTCGCGTTGTCAACGCCAAATAGCCGAAGTATTGTTGTTGCTGCAGCGGCAATATTATTGCCAGTGTGCGCCCCGTGTAGCTCAGGCAACCCAAGCAGGTGGTCAACTAGCTTGCCCTCGCTGTTAAGGTAATGTACGCAGAGGCCAGTAAAAGCATACTGCCCACCAGTTGAAGTCCAGTTGTCGAATGACACGTGTATAAGCGACCGGGCTTCGCGAAGGTAGTTGGCAATAGCTGGTATGTATGTATTGTACTCAGTAATAATATGATCCTGGAGCGTTTGGTGGCTACGCCAAAGGAGAGCTTCGGCTAGCGGGCTCACGGCCGCAATCATGGCTCGAAACTGCGGCGTTTCTATTACGCGAAGGCTCTGGTTGTCCGCGACTACCCAGTCCTTCAGCGCGTCCTGAAATCGAGAGGTTGAAAAGCTTGCTGCCATCTCGTTTGCTACCTCTTGCGATACTTCTATCCCTTTAGACCTCATAATATGTACTTGGGACTTTGCGAGCGCGCCCATAATATTGCCCTCCCGGCTAGCAATTGGTACAGGTCCGTTAGGTCCGTGTGAGTGTCCAGGCTTGTTGCTTGAGAGGTGTCGGCCGGCGTTTGTAGTGCTGTCAGCCTCGTAGCAAGCCTCCTGCTTCCGTCGTTGATGGCAGTACCGGCAAAGCCAGTAGTTTTTCTTGTACTTGCGGTGCCAGACGGCCCAGCCGTGGCGGTAGATCCAGCTTTTTGGCCCACCGCGACTATTACGCTCAACCTGGCGCCGCTCAAGATACGGCACACGCTTAAAATCAAGCCCGTCGTAATTGTCGTCGTCGTCGTCGTCGTCGCCGTCGTTGGGGAAGTCCGCCTGTACTGCCAAGGGCTCATCAGCCTGGGCCTCGCTCGCAGTATCGCCAACAGTAGGCGCGTTTGATAGCGATGGTAGAGGAGAATTGCGCTTGTCGCATTCTACAAGGCGGCGAGGGCCTGAATTAGAGGGAGTAGACATGAAGTACACCAAGAAGTATTATGGCAACAGTAGTCTAGCGTCGTGTGTATAGCAGACGCGACGCGACGCGACGCGAAAGGCTTACTAGGTGCGCACCGGGTAGCGCATTTCCGCAAACTCTAATTAGCTTAAAGCTAGATGCTTTAACTTATATAGGATTAGTGTCTTTATATCTAGGACTAGCGCGGCTTCGAAGCCGCACTAAATGTGGCTTTCACAACTCTAAAATACTGCTTTAAAAACAGCTAACGTCAGTCTAACGTCAGTCAGTTCAGTCAGTCTGGAGGCTTCTGAACTGACTGGACTGACGTCCAGCTGCCTCAAGAACTGACTGACTGAACTGAGTCTTGGCAGTCAGTTCAGTCAGTTCGAACTGAGTTACCTGACTGATAGCAAGTCTGGTATCCGAGCCCACATCGGTCGCCCTGACTCTCGTCTTATACAGACTATTAGGATAAGCGGTGTATTCGTATACTGGATGGGATATATGCACTATCCGTACCCAGTCTTGAGCTATGACGACTGTCTGTCCTCGCTGCGACACATCGAGATATCAAACTCTATATTCATGCCGTTTGGTGACGAGACAGGAATGGAAGAAGTTCGTCAAGGTTTCCGAGAATGGTCTGGAAAACCAGATCTCGCCGTCACCTTTGTCGAGTAAAAGCATGGACCATGCCAGGGTTGTACTTGGGTTTGCCCTGCTGGGTATGGAGTTTTTCGGGTTGTCATGTGGATGTCAGTCGCACAGTTGTCAACAAGCAAGTCAAGCCGACTTGATTGTTATCGATAGTGGCAAACAGACCATAGGGATAACCGTGCACGAGGACACGTCCCATAGGATGGTCTGATCCCTTATCGATAGAGACTTGATTGAGACTTGACTTGCTTGTTGACAACTGTGGTCAGTCGTGAAAGAGATCGGTAGAGCTCTTGTGGAAATCATGTAATCGATGGAATTTCAGTTTGGTATGTCAAGGGTGGGCATAATGGCACTGTGCAGGTGGATAGTCCAGTGTGACAAAGCTTGGTGGAAATCTTGTGGAAATGATGTAATCGACGGATCTTCAGTTTGTATAGTCAGGGATGGGTACAATGGTACTGTGGAGGAGACAAGAGATCCCTGCGTTCCTGTGGATATAAACATCAATGACATCCTGCAATCTATGGCGGAATACCTTGTTTGACCTGAAACTCATGGAGACCGGTGGCTAGCTTATGAAATTGTACATGTAATACATAGTATTAAGGAGAATTACCAGGTAGATCCATTACAGTTGTATCAGCAGCAGCGCTGTGCACTTTATCCTTCACTACTGAATCAAAGGCCCCTTTTCATCATAAATACTTCAGTTGCCGGTACATCTAGCTGTTCTGTCGCTCAGAGATGTCAACAAGCAAGTCAAGCTGGCTTGATTCTTATCGATTGCAGATCACAGACCCTGCACGTTGAACAGTTAATTGCGCCATAGCACGTACTTAGTCTGCAGCCGCTATTTAGACTAAATTTTATCTCGTATTCATAGCAGTCTCTTCATTGATCGGATATTGGATCATACGACAAAACATGCAGGGATACTGCGTTCAGGGTGAGCGAGCTATGTACATACTCTCATCTTCTTGTATTTGAGCAACTTCCCGTTCGACCCATTTCCCTCCGACTACTCGATTCCAACTGTCCACTTTCAACTAAGGTTGAGATTCAACATCACGTTGTCCCTGCCTACAAGAAACAAGCCTACTACGAGAAGAATGAACCAAATGATAGCTGACTAAGGTTAGCGATCAAGTGCATTGTGTGGTACCGAACAGAGAATTCTTGTAGATTTTTCCGCTTCCACAAAGCAGGGACCGACTGTACCATTGTAAAAAAAACATCATTCTGCTCCTATATCCATCCTTGCTATTGTAATGCCACTACAATGAACAGCTGATCTGTGTCTCACTCGTCTTTTGCAGTTCTACGCTTCTAGGTGAACAACGAAGACCGCTACGAAGGTTTACCCAACAACACTGCGAAAACGTCGGAAGCACTCGAGCAGTCGCCACTGAGAAAAGCTTCTGATGTGACATCTAATGCATAAAAGAAACTACTAAATATGCACTGGTACTCTCTGCGGGCGTCAAATCTATGCAGCCAAGATGAGACAGACCGTGTATATCCTCCCAGTGTCCTCTAACGAGAAAACCACACCATGATGACAATACAAATCTTTGTCCACGGACAGGTCACTCTTTGCTATGGTGACGGCTAAAAATTATACAACTAGTAACCGTAGCACTTATTGATTACAAAGCCAAAGGCAAGCGTTAGGACAGCATTGGTGGATCCTGATTAATCTTAAGGCCAGATGTATTCTATTGACAAGAAGGGTGTTAAAGAACGTTGAGTTGGACTCAGGCGGAGGGGGGGTTGGTTGGTTGGTTTCGGAATTGTAGCGCCAGAGTGTACAATAGTGAAAGGGATAATGGTATTTACCAAGTTCATGGGCTTGTAAAGTAATTGAGGGATAAAATCATACTAGAGCTATTGTTGGTGATACTACATGTAACAGGTTCTAGTATGTCGCTGACTGGGGTGGTCCAGACGAAAACCTTTATCCTTCTTTGCCCACCATGCTAATAGCTGACAGCGTCTATCGTACCCATCCAAGTCCTATTAGCGCAGTCTTGTGTTCTCTCTGTTAGTACACACTACGGTTGCTGTACTGCAGCCGCGTTCATCCCCGCGTATCAATAACCTCTCACACCGTACTGGCGCAACGCGAATGTCTGTTGTATACCATCTGATGTTTCCTCATATGATACGCCTGTTCGGGATCGTCTCGGCGCGGTAATGGGACAGATGTTCGAGTTGTCATTGACTTCTGCTACACAGAATCAGTGAATGCTTTCTCTCGAAAGACGCCATAGATCGTACCCTAGGACATCCTATTCCTCATGTATGCTACCCATATGTCTTGACCATATGTGATGATGCTTCTTTCTATGCCGCAACTCGGTGTTCATCCCCCAACGATGCGCCTCGCCCTCCGCCCTGAGGCGTCCAACTCCCAAAACCGCCTTTCCAGGGCTCGACTTTCGCGAACCCGTGAGCGTCGAAGCATCATGTGAGAGGAATGTAGTGGGGTTCTCGAGGACTGCTTATGGCGAGATCGACGAGGAGCGGCGGGGAGTTTTGTAGGCGATGCGAAAGCCGAGTCTTTGCGTTGGGGTGAGGTGTAGGGTGGAGTTGGAAAGGACTGCAAATTACGATGCGAGGTCTTGGGCGATGGTGAGGGTGAAGGAGTTGGTGTGAGTTGTGGAGATTGTCGGCCCCAGCTAAGTTCGGGAGTTTTGTTGTACGGCACTCGTTTGGGGGGCGCTTCGGTGTTGCCAGTCGCCTCCAGCTGATCCTGTAGCCTCGAAAGCGCAGCGAAGAGGGGCAGGGTGATGTATTGTTGCTCGTATATCCTTTGGACGGCGTCTGGTATTACAGGCGAACGTGGCGGCGATGCCATGCTATGTTGTGGTGATGTCATGCCGAAAGGAGTGTTGAGATGAAGCGCGTCGACGTCCTCACATCTTGGCGGTTCTTCCCTCAACAACCCCCTAGCCGGATTGGGGAACCCCCGCCCGCGTTATCAACCCCATCTCTTCATGTTACTTTCACCTCAACCAACACCAACCAATACCTTTATTTGGACTTGATGGCATCACCTGGCGGTGATACGGAGCCTGATGTGTCATCATGGGACAATGTGTTTCTCGGAGTGTCTAATGGCGATTTTGCGCGGCTAGTGCCACACTCTCCGGCGGCACGCAGACTCTTTGGTCAAGTCGTTCGGCTCCTTGAGAGTGATGGCAACAGTTGGCATCACGTCCGCAGATTCATTCACTATGAAGTCACCCATGCTGACGAAAGTACTACTGATAGTAGTTTCAACACTGTCACTAGCTTGCCCGCCAGACATGAACCTCTTCATGACTTTTGCGGTTATTACCGACTTAACATGACTATTCCACCTGCAAATCAAGGGCTGGGTTGGATCATGGGAAGTTCCAGACCGAACAAGCCAGATAATTTTGTAGATTTCCTTCTCGCTCCGTTCACCAATGAACATGCTCTTCATTCACGCCACTGCAGGCTGCGACGCATGCTCGAGACGGGAGTGTTAATTGCTGTATCTGATAGCAGGAAGGTAATAGTTTGCCGTTCTATTAGTGCACCGTCCACTCATTCACACTCTAGGTTAGTGTCGATGGCAGGACTCTCCAACGAGACACCAAGAGAGAGCAGGACGAACAAGACTACCAAGCCTCTCTCCAACATGGCACCAGCATCCGGCTCGGTGACCTCACTTATATGCTCGTCTACACAGACCTGAACCGGGAACAACAAGAACACGAACTGCAAGAAGCCTTGGAAAAGGTCAGTGCTGTGGCCACCAACCCCAGCATGCTTCTATCACCAACGCCATCTAAGCCCACTATCGACTACCATGGTTATAGCATCTTTGATGCCAATCTTCACGGCACGACAAGCACAGTATCTCTAGGATATGACAAGGCAAACGGGAAGCCAGTCGCCGTCAAAATGGTCAAATGCACTGCTGCACAATTCAAGGATCTTCGAAGAGAAATCAGTATCCTAGGCCGCCTCAATCATGCAAGTCACCATCCAAACCGCGAAAAGCACAACTAACTTTCCACCAAGAAGAATGTATGCAAACTCGACAAAGTCATCAACTGGGATCCATTCGCCAACCCACGTGACTGGCGTCAGGACGAGGGACCAACCGTGGGCCTTGTCATGTCACCACCAGCAACTTCCGGAGCGCTACAATTACTCGCAACCTGGAAATCTTTCCCCGTTCCCGCTACTTTTCTTCGCGACTCTGTGCACCAGATAGCATCCGGTCTCGCTCATGTCCACAGCCTCGACATACTCCACCGCGATATAAAACCCAACAATATAGTCTACCGCTCCACAAACCCCGTACACGCCATCATCGTCGACTTTGGATGCAGCGATCTGGGCCCAAAAAGCACTCGTCATGATAGAGGCACCATGACGTATCTCGCTCCGGAGGTAATAAGAATAAAAGACAGCGAATCATCTGAGCCGTTTTCCCTCCCATCAGATGTGTGGAGTCTAGGTGTCACGGTGGTAGACTTCCTCATGGGTAAGCCGTTCCACCAACAGCTCGGTAGAGCGTCAATATATCAGTCCTTCAAGAGGACCATGGCAGAGAATACAGTTGAATTGCACCACCCGCTTTTCTGGGATCTTGCACTCGAGCTTCTGGCTTGGGATCCGGAGAGTAGACCGTCGGCCATGCAAGTAGCTCAACGCTTCACAGTCCGGCAAGAAAGCCTTCTCAAGGCAGATTCTCGACGCGGGTCTGTGAACGAAGAGTCGTCGTTGGCTAAGCGTGAGAAATTGCAAAGCTGAGATGCCAAGTAATCGCGCAAATAGAAGTTCCGGGCAATAATAAGCTTCAGAACGCTGTGAATTTCTGAACAGCTTAATCTGTAGATTTGCTACATGTACATGATTGTATATCTAAGATGCTAGAGAAGGGCGATATCGTTCCGTGACGAGTAGACAAATCATTAGTACAGAACATACTTGTGGCGTCCTAGCAGAAATTCACACTACAGTAGTAGTCAGGATACGCAAGATTTGATTTGATTGTATCTACTCTAGCGGAGAGATGTACAAAAAAGACCAATTCCGGGCTAATCTACGGCGTTTCTAGCTTTCAACGTAACGTCCCGTGAAGAGAATGATAAGGGTCATTTTTTCCGGGAGTAAGCAGCAAGGTCTATACCCAGACATCCGAGTGCAAATGACAAAAGTAACAAACACATTAATCAACCCCCCAAGCCAAAGCAAAAACTAACAGCTTCATTTCGATACTAGGGTATAAGATGAGAACCAGCAAGATACCACACAGTTTCCTTCCCACTCCACTCCACTCCCACATCGTCAGTTTAACCCCGATAGCAGTAATTAAAACGCCAATGCATCCAACGGAACCAATCGTGTGCGTGCCTTTCTTTACTCTGCTGTGAATGCGGATATATCATGAAGCCCGCCCTAAGCCCCACCAGACCCCACCAAACTCCTACGCCAGTACCAATATATCTTCATCATGACAAAAGCTTGCGTATATTCCCCGAGTCGGGGGACTTAGACTTGTTTGTCCGTCTTTGGCTTATCTTCATGTTCTTCGAGAATACAGCTAGCGGGTATTTCGTCCTCGTCACTTGTTTCCCTTGCATCTTTCCACTCCGCGCTCTTGCGGCTGATTCTTCCGGGGCCGACGGGGTCGCGTGGGCTGGCGAGGGGGCTGGTGGGCGTGGCTCGGATGCTGCTGATACTATCAGTGCGACCGTGGCCAAGGAGTCCGCTGCGCACGCTCAGAGCGTCAGCCTGCTTGTTGGCATAGTAGCTGTTGCGCTCGCTGGGGAGGACGGGGGCGGTAACTCCGGAAGCCGAGTAGACGCTTGCACGCTCTGCGTTTACAAAAGCACTGACGTTGCTTGGCCTGCCAGAAGGCGAGTATATCGTGTCGGGGTTGGCTGACAGCACGCTAAGTGGGAGCGACTCGCGACTGCCTCCGTAATGCGACGATGGGGCTAGGGCTCGCATCGAAGCGTTTGTATCTACGGAGTTGCGGCGGCGACGCTTTGATGACGAGGCCAGGGTGAGGATCGACGCATTATCGGTGAGGATGTTGTTTGCAGTGGCGCCCGAATACGAGTTGGGCTGCTGCTGCTGGGGTGCCAAGTGCGGCGGTATCGCTGACGGAGGGGGAGAGGTTGGGAACTGGTGTGAGAAGTGGACGGGCGGGGCACTCAGGTTCGCCGGGTTTGGCTGATTCTGACCAATGTTGAGCACGTTTGAAGGCGCAGTGGATTGTATCGTCGTCAGGGTGGTGGTGAGGGAGTGCTCGGAACCATGTGGGGACGAGAAAGTGCTGCCTCCGTTGACAAAGTTGCTGCCGCCTGTCTCGGCCTTTGATCGCGTCGAATGTACCGTCTCCGGCACTGTTGCGACGGTTGGTGCTGTTGACTTGTTGCTCTTCTGTACCCCTTGGCGAGCTGCCGCCTCCTCCACCGACGTGTAACTGTTTGATCGCGGCGTTGCGGGCGTTAATACCGAGAAGCCGTCGTCGGGGGCCGTAGTGTTGACATAGCCCGACTCTGGGTATGGGTTGTTCTTGGCTGCTGACTTCTTGGTGATTTGGTTCTTCTTGTTCGGAGCGTCGGAAGATGAGGGCTTCAGGTTCGCCAGGCGCTTCATCCAGCCCGCAAAGGGACGCTTGCGTGTATGCCGGTCTTTGTCTTTGGTCAGCATATTTTGCATTGTTTCTCGGACGAAAAAAACAACGGGGGTGTAGGGGGCCTGGATTATATGGGCATGTCTTGGGTGGTGGGTGTGCAGGGCTAGGTCTCCATACCATGCGGTCTCGATGCAGCTTCGGCCGTGGCCATGATGCAGTTTGCCAAATATAGAGGGCCTGTCGTGGATAGCTGTTGTTGCTGGCCTGGCTAGGCACGGGACTCGTCCTTCGGTATTCGGTGTTAATGCCACGTGCTGGGTATCAAGCAATGGGCGTCCTAGAGAGACAAGTTGGCTACAGGCGTGAATGGAGACAGCGCACGGCTTCGGGCCGTTGTTGGCGAGCAGGGTATTTTGGTCGCAGTTGTATGCAGTGCAGCGAATCCGATCGAGTGAATTGCGCAGCTATAGACGGCCGTGTTGTTTATGTGACTGGATGTCGAAGAAGGGGTGAACGGTGAGGGCTTACGGCGACCAGGTTGCGCGTGCGTGCTGATATCTCCGGTTGGACCCTTTCCCCAGCGCGCCTGCCGTTCGGCGCTAGGACATGCTCTGCATCCTTCATCACCCACTTGATTGCGTACGTGTTGTAGATCTTCATGACACCACCCGCCCAAGTCCCCACCCACTGCGCACCGACCGAGCCCAAAACATGATCGATCGCGGGTCAGCACACAGCGAGGGGACGGCGCGAACAAGTCATACTACGTCATGACCACTGTCCGAGGACCCAGCATCCTGCCGCTGCCCGAAGACGTCGTCGCCCAGATCAAGTCATCGACGGCCATTCTGTCGCTGACTGATGTGCTAACAGAGTTGGTGAAGAACTCTCTCGACGCCAAAGCGACCAAGATAGAAGCGACGGTTGACTTTGCGCGTGGCGGATGCACGGTAGAAGACAATGGCCTGGGCATATCACCACTTGAATTTCGCGAAGACGGCGGCCTGGGGAAGCTCTACTGTATGTTCATAGTCCCGTGACCAGTCGTATACCTAGACAGACATTGATCAGGGCAGGCACGTCCAAGTACCATGCACGCGAATCTCTGCTCGGCCGCAATGGCACCTTCCTCGCCTCACTCGCCGCTGTCTCTCTCTTGACCATTGCCTCGCGTCACCACGAATACCGCTCACACAACTCGCTGACTTTTCATCACTCCAATACTGTTGAGCGACAACTGCCTGCTTCGGCGCATCAAGAGTTGCATGCCAAGCATGGGACCCGCGTCACCGTCCGGAACCTGTTCGGAAACCTTCCAGTGCGGGTGAAACAACGATCTATGGGTTCGGGGCAGCGGGCCGAACATGACAGATTGTGGGACCAGCTTAAGAGAGACATCACCCGACTATTACTCAGCTGGCAGGGTGAACTATCCTTGAGAGTTCGCGACAGCGAGAACAGGGTGCTTATCAATTTCAACACCTCCAGCTCGAGCCCCTCTGTAGGACAAGATCGAGAGGCTGTGACACCACGTTCAACACAACTATCTTCCCTCCTCAACATCCTGACACAAGCTAATTATATCGCTATTGATGAGTGGCCGTCATGGGTTCCAGCTTCAGCTTCTACATCTGCCATCTCTATCAATGGCGCCATATCGCTTGACCCAGCCCCCAGCAAGCACGTTCAATTCATCTCACTTGGTGTGCGACCACTTTCCCCTGACTGCGGACATAACGAGCTGTTCGACCAAGTGAACCGCCTCTTTGCACTCTCTAGTTTTGGCACTGTCGAAGATGATGCGGTTGTGGATGAACATGAAAAGATTCGACGGCAATCCGACAAACGCTTCAAGCAAGGCGGCTACACTAATCGACAACTCAAGGCGCGCAAAGATGTCGATAGGTATCCCATGTTCCACCTCCGTATCTCCATGAAGGACCCTCATACCTCGCGAGCCTCTGAAGATGAGTTCGTGGGCGACGAGGCTAATTTGCAGAATGTCACGGAAGTCTTGGGTGCGATGGTCACGCAATGGCTATCTGTTCATCACTTTCGACCGCGACAACCTCGCAAGAGGCGTGAAAGGCCCAGCACTGCTTGTAGTTTGCTTGACAACTCTAGCGAAACCCCAGCTCCGACGACAACGGAACATGGGTCAACAAAGCCTATAACCAGCTCTACATCCGTGGCATCCAAGAAACGAAAGCGTCTGAAAGATCCAATCTCGAACAAGTCATCAGAAAAGGAGCATCGACAGGCCTTTGCGGACTGGTCACGGATCAAGAGCGGGAAGCCTGACTTCTTCAATGCAGTGTCCAAGTCAAAGAGCCCACTAGCGAATAATTCCCCCGACAGCCAGCGTAATGAAGCCGACACATGTCATCGTACGAAAACAGACAATTTCGCCTCTTTCAATATAGAGCCGATTGACCAAGGTGCCCTCAATGAGCATCGAGATGGATCGGTTGCGTCTGCGACCACATCCTCTGCTGACAATAAAGAGAATGACGATACTATCATATGGACAGACCCTTGCACAAAGAAGACACATCTCCTGAATGCCAGGACAGGATGTGTAATGCCTGATGCTCGTGCGCGACCGGACACCGACCCCACTGCATCTATATTTGGCACCCATACGAGGAACAAGTCGGTACGATTACCATCTCGACCATCAACGGCTGTCGCACGCAAGACACCCTGGCTCGACAATGTTCTGGACACGTGGGAGAACCCGGTCTTCAAGCCTACAGAGAAGCGCATACAACAAGCAAATATACACGAAGACGGGCTTGATCCCAGTCATCATCCTTCCAGACATGGCTGCTCCCGCTTTGACATTGACCGGGCTTTCAACCAGGCTTCAACAGGCGGTTCTAGTAGGCTGTCTAAAGAAGGACTGAAAAATGCCCAAGTAATCTCACAGGTCGACAAAAAGTTCATACTTGTGAAAATGCAAAGCTTTGCGTCTGAACAAGAAGCAAAGGCTGGGCTTCTGGTACTGATCGATCAACATGCAGCAGATGAACGAGTACAAGTCGAAAGCTTATTCAGAGAGCTCTGTACCCCTTTGCCTCAAGCCCGTGCCTACAAGTCACAGCTCGGACATGGCGTACTTGTAGTCTCGACCATGCTCGAGAAGCCAATGCAATTTGCAATCTCATCCCGGGAACGTACGCACTTCACAACACACGCCGCGCGCTTCGCTGCTTGGGGTATCCTCTACGACATCCTTGTATCAGCATTTTCCTCTAGCAGCTTGGAAAAAGATAAGCACGTCCTATCTGTTACAACGTTACCACCGGCCATCTCTGAGCGCTGCAAAGCAGACCCCAAGGTACTGATATCCTTCCTTCGGTCTACGGTATGGAAGTATGTCGAAGACGCACACCTTCCCCCTCTACCCCAACACGGATATTCTGCCAATAAAGACGATTGGGTCAGGCGACTCGCTACCTGCCCTCCGGGTCTTGTCGACCTTGTCAACTCTCGTGCATGTCGCTCAGCAATCATGTTTAACGACACGCTCGAAATTGAAGAATGCATAGAGTTGGTGCGAAAATTGGCCGACTGTGTATTTCCTTTCATGTGTGCACATGGCCGACCTAGCATGGTTCCGCTCGTCGACCTTGGAACAAGTGGTGATGCTGGAAGTGTTCTGAGTAGTAGTACAAAGAATGTCGAAAATAAGACTACCTTTGTACAAGCATGGCGGAAATGGCAGAAGTAAACGCATCTGCGCTGATGTTGTATATCACAGAGAGAAACAGTTAGGAAGCAACATGTATAATCTCATGATGACACTTGGTAATTGGCCCTCCTTTATTATATCCACAGTTATCATAACCTCACACACCTCTCAACACAAGACTTCACAATAACCTCATCACTTTCCCTGTATTTCCTAAACACGGCCTCCCCGCCCACAAAGTAGACATTTTCCTGCACAAACTTAACTCTCTTCTCTGGCCTCCACGCCTTGTACACCTTTCAAAGCCTCATAGAATGTCTGGAATGCACGTAAACTTGCCGTGCACCGTAAGACATGTAGTCTACATATCATCGCTTCGAGCGCGTTTCCTATGTCTAGGTATCTTCTGTCGATCGACGACATTAGGGAAAGGGGTGAAGGGGACATGCTGGGGATGGGAATTGGGGATGTAGATTGGGAATACTGCGTGATGAGGGGCTTATGACGGTATGGCAAGGACTGTTCGTTATCTCAAAGGTTCACTGGATATATTACGTAACGTACAGTGGTGAAGCAACACGAAGTCATAATACACCAAAGAAATCGATCACAGAACATACTGACACAAGAAAATTACACCAGACGCCAATCAGCCATCAACATCACCTCAACTCATGCGGAATATTCTCTGCCGGCATCTCCTGCGGCCCACTCGAAGGCGCCTCCCAACGCTCATAAACAACATCCCCAGGTCTAGGTTTATAATCGTGAGTAGTAGCAGGGGGAACAAACTCATCTGGTTGGTTTGCCGTTTTCGGTCCAAGGCGCTGATGTCGACGATGTCTATAGAACAAGAACAATGCCACACTAATCGCGATCACGCCAAGGGGAGCCCCGACACCAGCGCCGATGGCGATGGCGTTGTTGTTGCTGGAAGAAGAGGTATTCTGGTTATCTTGAGATGGGGGAGATGATGAGGTTGATGTGGCAGTAGCTGAAGCGCCGATACTGGAAGACGACGACGATGAGGACGATAGCGGTGCGGCAGGCGTCGTTATAGTAGAAGTTGTTATGGCCGAAGAAGAACTCGTAACACCCACAACCGTCGCAGTAGTCGCCACATCTAAACCCAGTTAGCCATCATACCCCCATCCCACATCCCTCAAAAAAACATACCAGCAAACGCAAAATAATTCGAACTATTCGAGCACATCTGCTCCGCACTAAACCCTTCCGCAAACCGATCCAAGCAATAAAACCGCTCTTCAATATACGGACACTTTGCTATACCCATCCCACCAGCCGGATTATCGCCATGGTCCCAGTTGAGGCAAAACGTCGGACACTCGGCCGAGTTCCACGTCTTGTCGGTGCAGCTGCCGCGCACATAGGTGGATTGGCCCGGTCCGGCGTCGACGTGCGAAGTTACGGCGCAGAGGTTGTTGGAGAGGCAGGCGAAGCCTTGGCCGCAGCAGGTGGAGTTTGCGGCCGTGGAACACGGGGTGTCGCGTTCGACGAGGGTGCCATCGGGGAAGTAGCAGAGGCATGATGTGGTTGAGATGTAAAAGGTGATAAGAAGGATGATGTTGTAGAAGCGCCGCATCTTGGGTGGGATGTGAAGGTATCACAGTATACTTTACTGTCGAGATGGAAACGAAAAGGGCTAGAGAGATTCAAAGTCCAAAGTGTTGACCGGCGATTGTAAGTTTTTCATCTAACTAACTTGGAGTGAATTAGATAGTATACGCAAACGTAAATACGTCCGCTATCGCCTACCCAGACCGATAATCAGCCCCCTTTTCTTCTTCAGCCACCGCGGGAGAAGTGACATGTAACAAGACAGGTTCGACCTTGGCACAGGTCGTGCTTGGTAATGTGTGCCAGCCTGATGGCTTGAGGTAACACTGAACAAGGAGACCAGACCAATGATCATGCTGGCTGCACCAAAAACGGCTGTCTGCTGCTGCATGAGATTGCAAGATTCTCATACGGGGCGTCACGTTGTTCTCGAAACGAGAGGAATATCCCCGTCATCGGGCGTTCTGAGGCTGGAGATATGCAGTGTAGTGTATCTGTTCAGCCCCCGTGGCTTCGAGGTTCATCTCCGGTGGGTGGCAAGGTGTGGGGTTTTGTGATTGCCATAGAGATACTCAATCATAGGATTTGGTAGTCTCTATGATGAGGCGAAACTTGGACTCTTCTACACATAGTGGTCTCTCTAACTCTCCGCCAACATATCAAGCATCTATTCTCGTCTCTATTCGATATCATGATTCCGCATTTCAGGCCCCCAGAAGATTCCCTGTTTGTGTAATCAGGCGTACACTACGAAACATGGATCGTTCCCATGGTGTATCCAATATCATCCTCGATACAATTTCCGACATCGTAACTGGGCCGCTCAGGCCTACCGACAAGGCTGGAAGGAGTAGGCGCCTGAGAGGAAAAGATAGCCACGTGCCACATATCTCGCATCGTTCCCACCCAGAGCTTTTATTGGATCTTATCTGAACGGGGTAATGGCTTGGCGGCATGCGTGGGGCCAAAAGTGGCGTATCAGAGGGCTGTGCCACCAACATGCATGGCATGAACCGAGGCCGTGATCCGAGTCACCAACCGCAATCTCAGCCTTCTGGTAATCTACATGAAGTTTCGGTTGCCGCGGAGCGTGATGACTGCGCTTGGACCCGGGATCCTAGATTACACCTTTGAATGTCACACGAGTGAAGTAATCGGAGCCCTGAACCTGCTAGTTGTCCCCGGGAGCATTTCCCCTCTTTTTTCATGACAACAATTGCCACTCAAATTCGACAATTTTTCGATAACGTCGCAATGGTATATAGGCGTTGGAGAAGGCAGATACTGCTCGCTGTTACTGCTGTTTTCGTCGTTACTGTCGTTACATTATCTGCGCGCCTTGCGCCGCCAAAATCTTCACCTGTCGACTCAAAAGATGGTGCAAGTCACGAATCATCATTAGATTCTCCCTCCTCCCCTAAGCCGAGCACAAGCAAGAACCAGGCGTGTCCTATTTCCCCACCACAGCCGGCAATATCACCCGATAGTCAGGGCCGATTTGACTGGAGAACAATCCAAGCGAAACACCCAGTCGAATCGTATACAAGCCTGCCCACAGAACGGCCCTCATCATTGCCTGCCGTACAGCATGTATTCAGGAAAGAGCCGGCAAAAGCACGCGAACAGCGCGCTGCAAGACAGGAAGCCGTAAAGGAAGTCTTCAAACGATGTTGGGGTTCCTATCGAGACCTGGCATGGATGAAAGATGAATTGGCGCCCATCTCAGGAAGCTCCAAGAACACCTTTGGAGGATGGGGTGCGACGCTGGTCGACAGTCTCGATACGCTCTGGATCATGGATATGAAAGACGAGTTTTCAGATGCAGTAGATGCTGCCGTTGGTATAGATTTCGGGCCCCGAGGCTCCGATGACGTCAACATGTTTGAAACAATCATACGATATCTTGGAGGGTTTATCGCTGCGTACGACGTATCAGACTGCAAAGATGCCCGTCTGCTACAAAAAGCCATCGAAGTCGGCGATATGGCATATGCATCGTTTGACACACCGAACAGGATGCCCGTGACGAGATGGAATCCCCAGAAAGCGGTAAGCGGACAGCAACAATTGCCGGCAGAGTCCGGTATCATTGCAGAGATGGCATCTGCTAGTGTCGAATTTACGCGGTTGTCCCAGTTGACTGGAGACATGCGGTACTTTGATGCTATATCTCGGATTAGCAACGTCATGGACGAGCAGCAAAGCCGAACTAGGCTCCCAGGAATGTGGCCGGTTGGAGTCAATGTAAGAGCTCCAGACTTGACGACCGGAGGCCAGTTCAGCCTAGGCGCAATGTCCGATTCAGCCTACGAATACCTCCCGAAAATGTACCAGCTACTGGGTGGAGCAGGCGAAGCGGCGCAACAGTACCGTCGAATGTATGATTATGCCATGACCACAGTCATAGACCATTCTTTATTCCGCCCGATGGTAGAAGACAAAGCCGACATCCTGGTAACAAGCAGCGTAGGAGCTGATGGAAGAAGGGATAGTTCCGGGCAGCATTTGACATGCTTTGCTGGAGGCATGCTCGGCCTCGGTGGTCAAATTACAGAGAACGAAACTCACGTCGCAACCGGTCGCAAGCTCACAGACGGCTGTATATGGACTTACGAACACGCCCCACTCGGCATCATGCCAGAAGTCTTCTCAATGTACGACTGTCCAGATTTGTCAGAATGCGACTACACTCGCGAACCGGGTGCCAGCCCTTTCAGCAACATAAACGATGCACGATATATTCTGCGCCCAGAAGCAATAGAGTCAGTATTCTACATGTACCGCATCACCGGAGACTCGACATACCAAGATAAAGCCTGGGCAATGTTTGAAGCGATAGAAAACAACACAAGCACTCGCTTCGGCAACGCCGCTATCCGCGATATGACGAAGAGTCCCCCAGATTTGGATGATAGCATGGAAAGCTTCTGGATGGCGGAGACGCTCAAGTACTTTTATCTTATATTCAGTGAGCCAGATACGATAAGTCTGGATGAATGGGTGTTCAATACAGAAGCGCACCCGTTTCGTGTCCCGCGTCCATAGAAGGCTACCTTAGATGTTCATAGATAGGGGCAAAAAGAAATTGGAAATCCTCAAGTAAACAGCTGCGCTTTCGTGTGGCAAGTGTTGCTGGTAACGGGGAAAGACGGCTAGTCATTGACACGCTAGCGTATAACAGAACAAAGAGAGGGAGAGACAGAGAATGCTCGCTCAAAGTAACAAATCCACAAACCCAAACACCAAAGAAGTCGATACGCCGCAAAAACATCAATCCGCAATGCTGAGCCGGTAAAAAGGAGAGACAGTCGTACTCGCGTTCGTCCGTCCGTTGGTTGTCGAGGCAAGGCGGTGAGTGCGCGGGATATCTCCGCACACCAAACTCCGACGATCCGGCATATGCACCCAAACGCCTATTCGCTGGAACAAAACACCAGAGCAGCTCGCTGCATGCACGCACACAAGTCAGCCTTCTGCATGTTCCCAACGCACAGCAACTGCATGGCAACTTTCCTTCCCCTAAGGGACCAGCCACGACGACGGCGGCGTCGTGTGTCCCCGCTTCCGCACAACACACACCACGCGTGCATGTCTCTCCACCGCTTCTTGCCCTGCATCTCGCTCGCATCCCGTCGCCGCGGTCGGAAAAAGGAAAACAAGTGAAGCATACCGGTGCTTTTGAACCGCAGGCTAGAAAAATCTATAGCTCATCGAGTTCGAACTCGAGGGCTACGTCTTCGGAACAGTCGGTGCAATAGTAGTTTGAGAAACCGCCGCATTCAATCTTCATCTTGGAACACATGTCGATGGACCAAGCGTCGTAGGAGTAGCCGGAAAGAAGACGCGATGAGCATACTTCAATGCTGTTGGCCCTGCAGGTGAGGAAAATAGCCATGTCAGCCGCTGTGTGGGTTTCGGATGGGACGGTTGGATGCGGTGGTGGTCGCAGAGGGGCTTACCAGATGTAGTAGTCGTGGTTGCAGTAGTACCATGAGTAGGTGTATGAGCACATGTTTGGAAGAAAGCGGGTTGACAGGTCCTGGTGTAGTGGTAGGTTGGGCGGATGTTTGGTTCACGTATGTAAGGTGATATATTCAGGGTCTTCTGGATAGTAGAATAAACGTAGAAAGACGATCTATATATGTGTTAGCTGACCGCCTGTTATCCCCTGTAGATCCTCAAAGTCTGTTTGCTGTAGTCCCTCGTAAAAGGTAACCACCGCCGCGGAACTGTGATGGGGTTCTAGACCAAGGGCGCGCGTGGTTCTCGCCATGGTAGTGTCCAACAAAGCTACATGTTGGGTGGGCTGCGAAAAGAACACACGAGGAACCATCGCTTAGTCGTACATACCTTTGTTCTTTTGTTTCGGGCGCCGAGAAGGAAACACAGGATTCGTGGTAGTAGGAACCGAGGGAGGGCAGTCTCAACTTTATATGTGTATATATATAGTGTCCCTCTCAACTTAAGATTATATAGTAGTCAGTAGTCCTTTGTGACTCTGAAGCACTAATCTAATCGAGATAACCGAGAGCAAAACTTCCGATAACTTCCTTGCTAGAACAAGTTCCAGAGGCTACCGAGAGAGATAAGCCCATGCTTTATGTCTCGTCTCTTTGTCCGACTGACTGGACTTTCTCCGGTGGGAAGGCGAGCTTGGACCGCTCTCGAGCTAACTAGCATATGCGCCGAGATGCATCCTGGCAAACCCCGGATTAGCTGATAAGCGCGATAAAAACATGAGGCAGTCCGGCCGGACCAACCACATGTTGCGAAAGCGTGTGCTACGGCTGCTGCACTGGCCTGGACTATGTATAGAGTGTCGGAGGATGTGATGCTTGGGTTCCATTGCGTAAGCCGGTTGGTCGGCTATACGTGGAGGACAAGAAGGGCGGTGGGAACGATACTCCCATGACTGTGCCTGGGGGAGGTTGGGGCTGACTTTAGATGGGGTAGCACCCAAGTTAGGTCGACGGTGTGATAAGTCCCAATTACCGACAGATGGTAAATAGAAATCGCCGCGGACCCATGGTGCGGAAAAACAAACGTCCTTGAGTTTGTTCCTTTCTTTCTTTCCTTCTAATTCCACCCTCCTTTGCATGCAGAGGCAGAAAGAAAGGGAAAGCCAAAAATACTCATCTTTTGCAACCAAAACACCCCAAGAATTGCTTCGCCGATGACCGGTTGGACCCTGGATGTCAGTAGCGTGAGAGGAGACGCGCATGCAGGGACCCGCGCTAGCCTCTCTCGGGTGGCCAACCGTTGGTAATTGGTCGGCAGGTACCGGAAGTCATGACTTCGAGTGACCTTTTTTTCGTCGCACTTTCGGTCTAGATGATGACTCCTAAACGAGCCCGTTCCTTCGGTGCCCATCGATCGGAAAGCTGGAGACATCTGTGGTTGATAAGGTGTTGTCAAATCGAGGGCGACGATTGCGCCGGCTTGGCCGTAGCTGGAAGGTTGGTGGGAAGTCTATCCGAAGTAGAAGACGCAATAGCCGAACTTTGTCTGTTGGCTGCGAACACGTAGCTTTCTCCATACTCGAAAGCGATGATTGAATCTTTTTCCAGCTGGGTCGTGTGCCACGACATGGTAGTGAGTTGCCCCGAGCCGTTGTCCAACTTCGGAAATGTGCAGGTCCCGTCCTCTGCGTCAGCATGTGACATCCGTTCAATGGGTCTCGATGATCCTCGCTCTCACTTGACACGGCGGTTCGTCGCTTCGCATTAAAGACCGCGCTCCGATGGCCGTCGGGCTTGAGCGACCGTATTGCCGAACGGTTTCAATGGTATTTGGGGTTATTGCCTTTTTGGGCATGTTGGTGATGGTGGTGTCGTAGTTCGGGCCCCCGTTCTCCGACAATTTACGGATGTCGGCATATACTTTGGTATCGAATCGTTTCTTCGTTGCAAAACAGGTGGTAGCACATGGAGTTATTGTACAACTTTAAGAGAGTAAGCATCTCGGCCACCTGCCTACGAACGTTTAAGCTTTCCCCTTGGAAGTGTGTAGTAATGTTCAGCTTGCGACGTTGCACATGCCCATCCGCCTCATCTAGCCTAGGTATAATAGATACAGTTCTACAGGACATGTAAACTACAACATGATTCATCCATACATTTGCTAATACATTCCCATGGTTACTTCCTGACCTAGGCGAGCTTATGGTGTATACCAAATTTGCAGAATCATACACCCAATCCATCATCAGCAGAACGCTAAGAGTAGAGAATCTGTACGAACATGGATATTTCTACTGGATGATGAAAAACAGTAGAACAAAGCCGCGCTCGCCTTCTTCGCTCTCTGGTAACCCCCTAATCGCTAGCCTTTGTCTCGCTTAATTCTGCCTTGGACTCGCCTGATTCCGCCTGCTTCTTCTTCGATTTTGCTTTCTTCTTCTTCGGCAGTGGGTTGACGAATTTGTCTTCGTAAGTCTCCTTAGTCACCAAGCCCTTCTCTTGAAGTTCTGCAACATATTCAGGGTCATATTTTGCGTATTGGTGTACTCTCCACGGGGCAGGCTCTGCAGGTCGCAACCACGTTAGTCGACCCTCAACGACCGTATCGTGTATCTCGAGAGAAGCCTTTTCGGCACCTTCCTTAGTCTCAAAGTCCATCATGCATAGCAGGCGGGGCATTTGCTGCATATCACCGTAGAAGGGGGCATGACCACTAATGGCTTCAATCCCGTGCTTGGACAACAATCTTCCGATGACCTCGAAATTCTTCTCTCTAGCCTCACCGACACGCAGTTTGGGAAACCAACCAGGTGTCTTAACCGAAAGCATCATTCGGCGGCCTTCCTCCAAAGGACGTAGGGCATCGCGTGTTGTACTGCCTTGGGGAATGAAGAATCGGGGTTTGGAAGTAGGACATATTTCTCTGGTCTCCGAGGGCAATCGAGACCACACGAAGTCGGGCTTTATATGTTGGACTCCTCCCATATACTTATGTAACGATGTGAGGTTGCCCCATTGTTCGACTAGTCTTTTGGCTTCTTCTTCACTTCCCAGTTCCGCAAATACGAAACTGTTGTTACAGAAGTTGAAGCGGTCTATCACCATTTGCAATTTCTTGCTGCATGTTCGTTAGCGATTGACCCCAGAGGCTTGAAAACGGCCTGGACACGACTCGTAGTGAAAGACTCACACCGTAAATCCGTCACCTTTCAGCAGTTCAACGAGTTCAAATTTTGCCAATCTGCGTTCCACCCTGAACAAGGCGACTGTCTGTGCAGGATTCACAGGCGTCTCAGGTGTCAAAGGTTCCAGAATTGTCTGCTCTCGTGTATCTGTCAGGGCAATTTCCGGTCCTCTCGAAGTCGTTGCAACGATATCTTCGCGTGACGATGTACTGGACATGAAGGTGCGACTTGGAAATGGTATTCTGATTGATGCAATCGATGGAGTAACTCGTACACAAGGTGCAGTCCTGGGGAAGAGACAGCGGCCTCGTAAAAGCGCCCTAGGTAAAGCCATTATGAACAAAGGCAATACTCAATGCGATAGAGCGAGTTCTAAGATCGATCCCGGGTTTGCCGCTGGTTTGCGACTGCTGGCAATGGGTTGTGGTGTGCGAATAACGCCCAGCGATATTTCTCTACATCTTTGTTGCCAAGACGCTAGTTAACCCAAAGAAACCTAAAACCATCTCGCCTCCAGCTTTCAATCTCAACTTGCAATCCATCTTGCTAGCGTCGAATACCCAAACCGCGGCTCGATACTCAGTTTACAGATGGCATCCTTCCGAGCTTGCGTTGTTTGTGTTGCATCTCGGGTACCGCCCCGCGCCGTGGTACCTGCTAGAGCTGCACCTTTTACAACAAGAGTTGCTTGGCAGCCTCTTTTGCTGGTTTCCACTCGTCTATTACATTCATCCGCTTTGTTGCCAATAGATGAAACTGTCCAACCCGATGGAACAGCCTCAATGAGACTGCCGCCTATACCCGATCTTCCTATTGGGTGGCGACACGATGTTTTTGGCTTCTATGCCTCTCAAGTACCGAATATTACTCGCATATCACTTCCCAGTGCTGCAGGGGAGAAAGAATTGAGAGAACTGTTAGAAAATGAGAAAATTGATCCGTAAGTTTCGGGGTTCATCTGAGCTGATGCATTACGCTCACGCTGATGTCGATGAAAAGCGACCATATGTGGATACATTTTCGTCACAACAATCCGAAACGTCATTACGGATACTGTCTCGTGGAAATCAAGGACCCGACCCAAAGACAACGTTTTCTGAACCTTCTACCGACATGGAGAATCTTAGGAAAGGAACTCACTATTCAGACAGAATGGCTAAAAGACCTTGCTGCCAAGAACTTTGTGGCCAGTTTATTAAAAGGGTGGTATGCAAGCCCGTCGAGCGACATCACAATGTGTAGATACCGTGGACACCAAGACCGGCTTCCGGGACACATCAGTGATGCCAGACGGGAAGGAAAAATCGTCAGGGCTGGGAACCTACCCCCGGGTGGGTCATCTCCTCCGCTCCAAAAGCGCGTCCTACAGAGGATATACGAATTACTTCACGGTATCGACGTCGAAGGGCTCATGTTTCATCAGAGGAGGGAACTATCTCTCCCTAGTGGGACATACAGTGGAGAACATGTTTACATGATGCTTTCAAGGGTGGAGGACGCAAAGGCTGTGCGTCGTATCTTGCATCACAACCAGATCCTTGATTATATGCCCATGACGATGATATTGCAACCACGTCACATATATCCAAGTTTGCATCTTTAGTTTGGTCAAGAGATTATGGTAAGGAGAAACAATTCTAACGCTAGTCTGGGATAATCACACAACGACGTGTTGGCCGTCTAGTATCCACATTAAGTATCCTACGTTCTTGCTCGAAATTGCAAAACCGGCCCATCCTTCTTACTCGCAAACACATCCTGGATTTGATACTCAGTCGCCCTTGTCCTGCCGACTTCCAGATCTTTGCTTCCAGCACCCAGGGTTGTACCTGGTGCCAACCTCAGATCGTACAGGTACAGAACTCGTGCAATGGTCACCGTCAGCTCTACGTAAGCCAGACCCTTGCCAATGCAGCCTCTAGGACCAATGCTGAAGGGGTTGTATGCCGATTGCGCCGCAGCCAGGCTATGATGGAGTGGATTCGCGGAGGGGTCCGACAGCCATCGCTCGGGAATGTAGTCGAATGGTTGAGGGAAGTAATTGGGGTTGTGATGAATGGCGTAGATGGGGACGCCGACATCGATACCAGCGGGGATATGGTGGCCATCAACATCCAGGCCGCCAGCAAGGACTTCGCGTGGAAGAGCGCCGGCTACCGGGGGCGTCATTCGCATCGTCTCGTCGATGCATGCACGTAGGAATGAGCAAGCGCCAAGTTTGGGTCCGGTTACAATCTCCTCGACGTCGGCGAAAGCCTCGCGGATCTCCTTGCACACCTTTTGCAACGCTGACGGGTTGTTGGCGAGGTAGAAAAAGGTGCCAGCCATAGCCGTTGATGTCGTATCCGAGCCAGCAATAATCAGGAGATTCGACTCTCCCCACAGTTCATCCATGCTGAAGCCTTTGCCAGTCTCCGGATCCTTTGCATTGAGAAGGTAGTAGAAGAAGTCCTTGCGGTCAACATCCACACCAAGCTTCGTGCGCTCCATAGCTTGGCCCTTGCTATACTGCATATACTGCGCGCGCTGCCCCGCAATCTTGCGAAAAAACAACTTGTCCAAATGCCAATTATGAATCGTA